GCAAAACATCAAAAACCAGAAGCAACCAACCAGCAGATCAACTGGATCAGTGAGGGGAGCTCCAGCAGAGGGGGACAGCATCATCAAGCAGCAGCACATCAGCAGGTAAAAGGCTCTGTTATATACAGATGTTACAGCTGCCAGACTCAGTCAGTCTGAAATGGCGGAATTATTTTTTCTTGCGTTCTGATCTGCACAGTCATCCAGGTCACCATCATATGACTGCAGCTCACTATCAATAACTTTAACATATGATGTTGTAGTTTAGTTAAAAGTTAACTATAAACCCTAAAATACATTTGTGTGCAGAAACAAGATAAATGTCTTAAGCTGTTCCTTACTTGAACAGATGGATCTACACATATAATTTGACATGGCGTTTTTACTAATTCGTAAAACTCTTTTGCAGGCTCAAAACTATGAACTTGATGAAGTTGCACAAGGTAAACACACCAACACTCCTTAATTCACCACGCAGCTCTCATAAGATCAACTAAAGTCGCTTTCACTGCAATATACTAAAAACCTTCACTGATTTGATGATGATGATCTTCCCAGTGACCACTAGAGGTCTCTGCTGTTCCTGTTTTCACTGAAACTCTCACATTAAGGGTTCAGGGCTTGCTTTGACCCAGCTCCATGCAACACTTCTTATGCATCTACCAAGCAAGCAGAGGGTTGAAATATCTTATATCTCATAGCTCATAATGAGGCTTTTAATATTGCGCTGGTGATGGTTGGAGTTCATTTTAATCACTTTAGAGATTGGCCACAATGTGTTACTGTATAAAATATTCATGCATGTTATTTGACTCCTACCCTCCTGCTGCACCAGAACTGCCAGAATAACAGTTTTATTTCCTCAATAATAAAGTTACTATCAAAGCTCAGAGTGTAGCAAATTAAACAAGTTACTTTTCAGAACCTCCCAGTCCTCTTATTTCCCCTTTTTCCTATCCAAAGAATGTTGAATGTAAAAACCTAGAGCTGCAATCGGGAGAGATACCAATAAACGACAAAAAAGATCTATCTTATCTTATAATAATGATGGATTGCATTTACAATTCCACTATTCATTTACACACTGGTGAATGCAAGCTACAGTTGTAGCCACAGCTGCCCTGGGGAAGAAGCGACAGAAGCGAGGCCATATCAGAATCAGAATCAGAATCGTGTTTATTGGCCAAGTATATGTGCAGAC